CTACAATCAGGGTTAATTGCAGAAATAGGAGTGGTTTAATTAGGGCACATTCAACTGCAAGTAACCAGAAACCAAACTCTAAGAGGCTTAAACAACAAGGACATCATGAACTCATAAAATGGGGAGATCAGCAGAGCAGACCTATGGCTGACATAATCCACCATCTCCAACTCCATTTTCTGGAGACTTTCTTTGGTTCTGCCTGTCTGGGGATGGTGACTTCGCCTGCAAGCTGGGAGTACAGTAACTGCATGTTGCCCTTGCATGCAGACAGCAACACCGCAGAGTCAGCTCCCCTGGGGACACGCAGCTACAAGGAAGGATGATGCCAGAGTCCACCATGGTGAGGTGGAGCACCGGTGGGCAGAAATTGCATTCTGTACCTCTGACCAGCAGTGTGAACTCAAGTGAGAGACTTGGGTTCTTGAGACCTCAAATGTTTTCATCTTACAATGAAATGTAAATGGAGAATCTTTAAGATTCTGCCCAATTATAAGCAGTTTTTGAGTCTGACATGTTCATGAATGTAAAGGGGCAGGAACGGGCACAGTGCAGGTTTTCTGATCCCATGCAGACCGGGTAAAGGAGGAGTCAGAGTCCTCAGTAGTTTTGCAGGTTTTTTATTGGGGTTCACCAGGCATATGGCAGGCAGGGGTGCTGGCTGGGGGGCTGGGAGGCTGGCAGGCCTCCCAGCCCCCAGCAAGTCCTCACTCTATCTGGGCTCTCTGGCGTTCTCTGCTTCTGCTTCAGCTTCTCCTTCAGGTTCTGCTGCTGCTGGCTGGGGCTGCTGGCGTCCCCCCGTGACGCCGCCCTTAAAAGCACAGTCTTAGCTCAGCTGAATCCCATCTACCTATGCCCACACCCTACTCCAGGTGCCCACCATCAGGCATGCATTCAGGACAAGGATCCATCATCTATCCTGATGGCGGAAGGGCAGAAAAGCCTGATATTTTCTTTACCCTACAATGAATTATTCAATACAGATCTTTAAGTGGGAGATAATTCGAGTCCTTCGTAGAAGATGATGTTTTCATAAAAGACCATAGCTTCTCTCATTCCACATGTCCATCTGCAGTGGGATTTGCCACTTTGCCTCAGGAAATGAAGTATAGTGTTTATCCCGTTCAATCTGTGCTAGTCTCATGATTCATTTATACCTGGGGAGCCACAGAACCTTATAACTAATAAAAACTATGGGAGAAGGGACACTAACAGACTTCCCAGAGACCATGCAGATTCCACCTGGTTTTCTCAGGACACTTGCTGCTGGAGAATCCAGGACCTTATAAGAAATCCAACCACCCTAAGACTGCCATACTAGAGGCCATGTGTAGGTATTCGTGTCGACAACCCAGCTGAGCCAGCATCAGCCCCCAACCATGAGGGTAGCCATCTTGGCTATCCAGGCTCAACTTCAGTGACTGAAGCCTTAACTGACATCATGCAACCCCATGAGAAATGCTACAGGTGAAGGGTGCAGCTGAGCCTTTCCGGAATTCTTAGCCCTGAAAATCAAGAGCAAAATAAAATGGCTATTCTCCAGCCCGTTTGGAGCAATGTGTTATACAGCAGTGGTAGCCAGGATAACGTCACAAACAAACCAGGAAGATTCAAGTCAATTTTGAGAAGTTGTTTCTGATAGTTGCAAAGCATGGAGGATATTTAAATTCCTTGTTTGTGGCTGTTTAAGGAATCGGGTGGGTACATTCTTCGAGGAGTTATCTGGGGCGTCTTGCCAGGAGGTAATGGCAATGGACTGTTGCACTTACGCAGCCCTTCAGAGTTTGGGAAGAACAAACTAAAGGCTAGAGCACCACTCAGCCTCCGTCTTGGTTCAGTGCCCCTCCTGGCATTCCTCAGCCTGTGACCCACCGGTTTGCTTTATGGAGCACACTTACGGATAAGAAAAGCCTTCCTGCAGTCAGCACCCGTGTGTGATGCACACATCGCCAGGCACTTTCTTGATCATTTCCACGCCGTACATTCACATGGGGACAGCAGGGAGGCTTCTGTGCTTTCCTGGCTGGCTTCCCACTTTCACCAGTGGAGCTTCCTGTGATGGTCTTGGGATCCAGCCCCAGCAGCCCTTATTCTGTTGAGCAGCTGCTGACTTGACTCTTGACAGATGCATCCTCTGGTCAATGGTTTTCCTCAAAGTGAGTGTGCAAACAAAGCCTTACGCATGCTCTGTGAGGTCGGAAGGAAAAACATCACCTACAATCTCATGGCATTCAGCCTTCAAGATGGCCCCAGTGGTTCCCCTCTTGGTATTCACTTCCTTAAATAGGTTTAACTTCTGTAACAAATAGGATCATGCACTAATGACAGTTTGACTTCCATAGTTTGGTTGTAAAAAAGTAGTGGTTTCTTTCTTATTCTCTTAGATTCCTTACCCTGGGGGAAGCCAGTTACTGCCAGGAGAACAGTCAAGCAACCCCGTAGAAAGATCCATGTGGCAAGGACCAGAGGTCACCTGCCAACCAGCAGCTCCCTGAGTGAACTCTTTTGGAAGCAGATCCTCCACCCCAATCAAGCTGTCAGTTGACCGCAGCTCTAGTAGCATTTTTTTTTTTTTTAAACGAGATGAAACCTCCCCTTCATTCTTTTTATTTATTTATGCATAGAAAACCTGGAGTGTAGGCCAGAGGTGTGGGGGGGTGAGAGGATTCACCAGAGACAGAGTGGGGAGCAGAACAGGCAGACTGACTGAAATACACTGCTGAGGGGAGCAGCGGGAGAGACAAGAGAGGTCTGCTGCACCATGTGGGTAGCTCCCTGGCCGGCTGGGGATCAAACTCATGCTGCAGTGGTTGTGGATAGACTCATAGGTTGCATCTTAACCCCTTGCACCATGAGGGAGGCCCCTCCAGTAGCAATCTTGACCACATCTCATGAAATACTATGAACTAAAATCACCCCGGTGAGTTGCTTCCTAACTCCTGACCACAGAAACACTGAGGTTATTAATATTTATTGCTTAAATTGTTAAGTTTTAAGACATCTTTAAAAGAGTGATAGATAATGAACACATTTTGGTTTATAAGTGAGAAACTGAGACTCAGAGACATGCAGCGGCTGCCCAGAGGCACACAGCTAGAACCACAGCCGAAGTGGGAAGAGAGCCCTCACCTTGTGACTGCTGAGCCACACACCATGGGTTCTCTTTAAGCCCCATGATGCAGCAATTCTCGAATGTGGGCCTAGGAAAGGGAGAGATGAGCGTGCAGACATAGTGTAGTGACTGCCCCAGTGATCCTGGGCCACACTGAGGCCTAGACCAACGTGGTTCCTTGGACTGGAAATCCAGGCTAGGGAGGGCAGAGGGCACCCTTTGTTCCCACTTGTTTGGAGCGTCCATGAGGGGAAAACAAGCCAGCAATGAGAGCTCCTCACCTGGCAGAAGCACACACACAGCCTCACACACGCTGGGCGCACCTGGCCACAAGTGACAGTGCCACTGACCCACAGCGCTGCAAAGGGGCTGCACTGCGGTGGAAGGGGTTTGTGGTGCAGAGGCCTGTGCTTAAGTCCACCTGCGACTCAGGGGCTTGGCTTGCCTCCCAGCTTCCCACTGCTGATTCATGTCTTCTCTTTAGAGAAGTCACCCCACAAGGGCCGCTTTCCACTCCCTGTGAATCACTGGCCATGCGGATGCCAGTCACCCCAACACAGGCCAGGCCTGTGGGTAACATGGGCTATGTGCATGTCACTACTAGTGACAGAAAATGGTGGTCATGGGTCAGCCAGTGACAAATCTAGCTGGCTTGTCCTCCTCTTTCCAGTTAGATTAGATTTATTCGACCTGAGGGATAGTTTGGCCCCCTGGGTAGGACTGGGGTTGGGCCAGCAAGAAGGCAGCTGGAGACTAAAGGCAAGAAGAGTCAAGCAGTCACTGCTGTCTTCAGGGTCTCCTTTCAGATTGTCAGCCCCATGGAGGGAGCAGCCTGACGGGGCCAGAGAGCTTGGACTAGGAGTCCCAACGGGAAGCAGAAGGATGCTTGTGGGATAAGCAAAGAGTAGCCCCTTGGCCGCACAGGAGACCCATGGGAGGGAATAAAAGGGAGAGGTCTGTGGTGGGGACCTTTTTTGAGAAAGTACCTTCAAGGCCTAACAGAGGGTCTTGAGCCTGTCCTCGTGTGGCATGCAAGGACCTCCATATAGGAGAGAAAAAATATGAGGTCTGGAACACTGGGTGCTGATGTAAACTCAACTCTATCACTTGGATAACCTTGGAAGAACTGTAGGCAAATTTGGGCCACAGTTGCTTCATAAGTAAAGCTAAGCAAATGGTTTTCAAACTGGGATCCTTAGAGCCCTAGGGTTCTGTAGACCTACCTTATAATTAGCCATTGGAAGACAGCCTCTAAACCAGTTCTTTCTGTCAGAAATAGAAAGTAAGTCACACATAGAATTTCAAATTTTTTGTAATTACCATTTAAAAAATATAAAATAAATAGATTAAGATATGGAAACAACCCAAATGCCCAAAAATAGATGACTGGATCAAGAAGATGTGGTACATATACACCATGGAATATTACTCAGCATTCAAAAAAGATAAACACATGCAATTTGCAGCAACATGGATGGCGCTGGAAGGGATCATGCTCAGCGAAATAAGCCAGAAAGAAAAAGAAAAATACCGGATGGTCTCACTCATAGCAGGAATCTAGAAAACTTAAATAAGAGACCAGGAAAAAGACTAATCAATACAAAGCAATAATCAAAATCAACAAGCAACTATAAACCAGAGATGGGGGGAAGAGGGGAAGTAGGGAGGGGCCGGGAGAGGAAGAACTAGAGTCAAAATAAGGGGGGGGGAATTGTATGGGAAATATAACCAAAATGAAAATGCATACATTGTGCAAAGATGAAAAATGAGGTAAGAATTATATAAAATAAAATATTTAAAAAAATAAATAGATGGAGTTATTTTTAACATTTTTATTTAATCTAATATATCTACAATAAAATTTCAGCATATAATTACTCATAAGATATTTTATATTCTTATTTTTGTACTAAGTCTTCAATGTCTGCTGTATAACTTGTACGTAAGCTCATCTAAATTCAAACCGACTGCATTTCCAGGGCTGTATGGCTTAGAGATGTAAACTTGGCTGGTGAAGTTATGAACGATCTCCCCCTGGTGGAAAAATCAGGAAAGTACATGAGACCAAAGGCTTAGAAGGAAGGGAGCCTGGGAAAGCAGTGAAAACCCAGGTGGGTTTGAGGACACAGTGACTCAGTCCTTCCAGAGGGTGAAGGTAGGGGACAGAGTGTGAGGACAGAGGTCATGACAGTCTTTTCCTCTACGGTGGGTTTTTCATGACATCTCATCATTTTCTCTGCAAATGTCTTTGTATTAGAGTGTGAACTATCACACGCATTTCCTTGGTTCAATCATCATGTATAGCCAAGGAGATGAGTGAAGGCATAGGGTAGAGCACATACAAATCAGAGAAGTGGGTCAAGATCAGACTCTTCAGGAATTTGTAAGTAAAAGCAGACTCACTGTTCACAGAGGAATTCACTGTGAAGGGGGAGGCATACAAAGAACAGGCACAGATTTGAGTGTTTTCAATGGAGAAAAATATTTGGACAACAATACAAGCTGTAGAACAAGGGTCATGATCAGATCAAGGGAATCAGAGGCACTCAAGAGGCAGAACAGCAGATCCCGCTTCATTGCTAGTGTTCCCTGTAAGATGCCATATCTAGTGATTGACCTGAAATTGACAATCAGTAATAGTCACTGCTCTCCATTCCCTGGTAACGATGATCTGAAGAATGACAGTTCAGTGACATGTTTGTAAAATCTGCAGTAGACTTCACAATGCAGGTTTGGTTGCCCCAAACCTTCAATGAAAACCAAAACTACAATACCCGAGAAGCGCATAAGACAAAGCACAATGAATCAAGATGTGTCTGTAGTGTTTTCTACACAGAAGTGACGCTGTGGTTCCAGCAGATGGCAGTCGCTGGCACGCGCTAGCAGCAGCCTCACAGTCACGTAGAGCCACTTCCAGCCCTGCCAGCTCCATGCACAGGAAGTCCCCACCCAGTAGATTACCAGCTTTTATTTTTTCTACTGCATTTTCACTCAACCTATCATTTAACTGTTCTATCTAGGTAGGTTTAGATACACAAAAACGGCTGTGTTATAGCTGCCTAAGTGTTCATGACAGTAACGAGCCAGGTAGGTTTGGAGCCCAGGAGCTGGGCCGTGTCTAGGTGTGGTGCAGGCTACCCGGTCTAGCTTTGGGGAGAGGACACCAGGATGTTCAAACAATGACAAAATCATCTACTGACCACAAAAATGTTTGAGATATTTCAAGACACAAAGTGATCAGATGCTGGTTGGGAAAATGCTGCCTGGACTTGCCTCCAAAAGGGTTACCTTCATTTTATAATAACCTATGTGTAAAACCAATGAAGCGAAGGGCACTAAAACAAGATGTGCCTGTATCCTCTGCACAGAAGTGATAATGTTGTTTCAGTGGAGGGCAGTGGCCAACCACGGATTTCTCTAGCATCTTTGAACTGACATTGCCAAGAAAGCCGGCTTCTTGGCCTTGAAGGACATTTGGGGCTTTGGGTTACTCCCCTTATTTTACCAAGAGAGAAATTTCCCTACTTCCCAGAATAATATGAGGCCTTATCGGGATTCACAGTCCTGTTTTTTAGTTTTGAGGATTTTATAGATAAAGATTTACATCTAGATCTTCTCAGACATGGATATGTGGTTTGCAAATATTTTCTCCCAGTCTGTATGTTACCTTAACAGGATAATTTGCAGAGCAAAAGTTTTCCATCTTGATAAAGTCTAATTTATCTATCTTTTCCTTTATGGATTATACTTTTGATATTATGGCTAAGAACTCTACCAATTTTAGGTTCCCCCTAATTTTCTTATTTTCTTCTTCTTTTTTTTTTTTAAAGATTTATTTATTTATTTATACAAGCACTGGGTACAGTCAGAAGCACGGGAGGGTGAGAGAATTCACCAGAGCCAGGGCGGGGAGCAGAGCAGGCAGAAGGACCAAAGTACACTGCTGAGGGGAGCAGCGGGCGCAGGAGAGGTCTGTGAGCCATGTGGGGCCCTCACCCAGCAGCCGGGGATTAAACCCGTGTTGCAGAGGCTGCGGGCAGCTTGGCAACCCAGCGCTCAACTGCTGTGCCACCGGGGAGGCCCAATTTTCTTCTTTTTTTCCCTAAAAGTTTTTATACATTTATATCTAGGATGCATTTTGAGTTAATTTTTGTATAAGATTCAAAATTTAGGTTGAGATGGGGGAAGGGTTGTTTATACAATTGTGATGATTATACAATTGTTCCAGCACCATTTGCTGGAAAGACAACCCTTCCTCCACTGCCTCGCTTGCGCACCTTTACCAATAACCAGGCAGGCAGAGCTGTGTGGGCTGTTTCTGAGTTTTCAGTTCTTTTCATTAATCTTCATGTCTATCCTTCTGCGAATACCACACAGTCTCCGAAACAGGCTGCGGATTCCTCGCAATCCTCTTTTCAAAATGTGTAAGCTATTCTATCTAGTTCTTTTGCATCTCCACATAATTTTTTAAATAAACATGTAAAAACTCTTGGAGGGTTTTAATAGGGATCGCATTGTAACTTTACCTCCTTTTGGGAAGAGCTGATACTTCTACTATGATGAGACTTTCAACCCATGAACCTGGCATTTCTTTCCATTTACTTAGCCCTCCTTTGACTTACATTTTTTCATTGAAGTAACATTGCAGTCTAACATTATTGACGTTCAAGGGGGCATCGTGGAGAATCATGTGCCTATATAACACAGTTCAATTCAATCCTTCTTCCTGCCATTGCGTCTTTCCCCAATTTACCCGCAAATCTCCTTTGATTTAATTCAACGTTTTGTAATTTTTAATAAATGTTTGTGCATATTTTGTTGATACATGCACATACATATTCTCTCTTTTTTGAGGGAGACTGAAATGGTATTATACTGTAATTTTGCTTCCACATGTTTATGGTTAGTACATAGAGAAATACAGTAGATTGCTCTATGTTGATCTTGTACCCTGCAACTTGGCTAAACTCCCTTCTGAGTCTGGGGATTATTTCAGCTTGTTTTGATTTTGGATATTCTGTAGCATTCTCCATGTTTGTCATCTGCAAACACGGACAGTTTTATTTCTTCCTTTCCAATCTGTGTGCCTTTGATCTCCCTTTCTTGCCGTCTTGTGCTGGCAGGGACTCATGGTGCTAAGCTGGGTGAGTGGTGAGAGTTCCTCCCTACCCAATCTTATGGGGAAACATTCAGACCATTAGCATAATGTCAACCGCAGGTTTTTTAGTAGATATTCTTTATCAAGTTGAGAAAATTGATAAACCCTGTCCCTAGGTGTAGTGGCAGGAAGGCCACTGTGCAGTTTCTATGATTCGAGCAGACCAGACAGGTAAAGGGGAGTCCAGAAGCCCTCGGAGGCTTCTCAGGCTTTTATTGAGCTTTTACATGTAGTGCAGCAACCAGGTACATGGCAGGCAGGGGTGCTGGGGGGCCAGGAGGCTGGCAGGTCTCCAAGCCCCCAGCAAGTCTTCACTCTGGGCTTCTTTCTCCCCTTCTCTTCCTCCTGCCTCTTCTGCTTCTGCTTCTCTTGGTGACAACCTCAATACTGAGCCATGGCCCACAGAAGTAAACTAGACAGCTTACAACAATGTAATAAATGCAGGTGCCCCATCAGGCGGGGCAATCCTAATGGTAGGAGGGCAGAAAAGCCTGAAAACCTACACTAGGTTTCTAGGAGTTTTATCATGAATGGGTATTGAATTTTGTCCAATCATTTTTCTATATCAAATGATCTAATGATGTGATTTTTCTCCATTAGGCCTTTACATGATGACTACATTACATTAACTGACTTTGAGTATAGAGCTGGTCATGAATCTCTGAAATAAATCTCACGTTCGGTTTGCTAGTACTTTGCTAAGGAATTTTTCATTTATATTCATTAGGGATATTGGTCTATAGCTTTATTTGGTTTTTGTACTGTCTTTGTCTAGTTTTGGCATCAGTGTAATTCTGGTCTCACAAAATAAGTTAGGAACTGTTCTCTCGTGTATTTTCTGGAAGGAATTGTGTAGAACTGGTGTTGATTCTTCAAACGTGGAAGAATTTGCTGAATTATCTGTACCTGGAGATCTCTTTTGCAGGATTTAAAAAAAATTATGATTTCAATTTCCTTAAGAGTTATAGGACTGTTCAACTTATTTATTTCATATTGGGCGAGTTGGGGTAGTCTGTGCTTTTCAAGGAATTCGGTTCCTTCATCTAAGTTGACAAATTTGTGTAGAGTTGTTTGCGGAATTTGATTATTATCCTTTGATGTCTTCAGGATCTATAATGATAGCTCCTGTTTCAGCCTGGTGTTAATAATTTGTGTCCTCTTTTTTTTGTCAGTCTTTCTAAAGGTCTATAATTTTACTGGTCTTCTCAAAGAGCAAATTTTTTGTCTTATATCTTTTGTTTTATGTTTTCAAACTTATTAATTCTTCTTTTATGTTTATTTTTAAGCTCTTCTACTTTGGATTTTCCTTTTCTTTTTCTAGGCTTTTATGTTAGGGACTTAGATTATTTATGAGACATTTTGTCATGTCTACTTTAAGTCTTAAAATGTTATAAATTTCCCTCTCAGAGCAGCGTAATGTCCCACAAAATTTGATATGCTGTATTTTCATTTTTATTTCATTCAGTGTATTTTTTCATTCTCCTTGAGATGTCTTTGATCCTTGGATTATGTTAAAGTAGATACTTATTTTCCAATCACTCACTTGATGAGGGTTTTCAGGAACAGTGAATTGGCTTAGTATTTTTATCATATTCTTTTTCAGCTGTTGATTTCATAGTAAGGTTATGTTAGAAGGAAAACCACATCACTGTTATTGCAGGAACCCAAGACTGTTAGCTAACTCATGTAGATATGAAAACATATAAGAAACTGCACACACATGCACACACATACACACCATGCACACACATGACATACTCATACCCATATCCAACCAGCAGAGGCCAAACTCTCATAAAAAAAAAAAAGACAAAAGGCAAACACTGTGGTAGGCAAAAAACAAGAAAAGGAAGATGCTTAGGAAGGGGAACAATGA